TTTCCTACATTTCTGTATACGCAACAGCACGGTAATAAAAATGTCCGGAGGTTAAATATAGCGATCGAAACTCATTTCGTTGGAAACTTGCAATATTATACTACAAATGTTACATACCTTCTCTTTACTGTGTTTGTAGACACATTTAGCCCCATCGCCATTTTATGCGATGAGGCGGTAGCAAAGGATTCACCCGGCTTGCCGCTCTCAGCTGTTCATCCTGATTGGGAGTCGTTAATCGCGGGCGTCCGGACAATCGCCCTGCAGACACAGAGGCGGTGTCCTGATGTTTTTTGATTATTCTAGATACCGTTCTTGTTGATATACGCAGACACTGCGCGATATCCGCTATCGTTTTTCCTTCCGCTCTGTGAGCTATGATGCGCACACGCAAGTCGTTGCTCAGTGCTTTAGGCATGCTCATCAATCTAGCACTTTCAGCAAAGCCTTTATATACTCTCGATTCCCTAGACAATTGAATTTAATTTCATGGTAACAGACATAAATAATATTGACTAAAATCTGTCATTATTTACGGCCACAGTCTCCTTCCAATTGCTATAGGTTTTCACTTCGAATATTCTGATAAATGAACAACATTACGCAAATCAGCCGTTGAATGCCCATTGGTCCTGAATGGCATCTTTCCCGGATAAACAACGTTAGAGGCAACGTCACGCCTGCAATGATGGCTTTCCCGTAGAAATTCTATGTGATGCGAGGAAAGCTGCCATTCGTAGATTAGTTCCCATTCTCTTTACATAATAATTAAGAACATGTAAAAGAAAATTAAAACATATAAAAATACTTATAACGTAAGTATTATTTATTGAAACGAATGACATATCATGTGATACCTGAATACGTATAAAATCTAAAAGGACGACTCAAATATAATGTGAATTTAAAAATGTAAAAACAAAAATTTGATTACAATGAGATCTGTTTATAAAATGACAATATATTTTATTAATATATATATATATATAATGACGAAGAAGAGATATGAAAACATTTTTTGCAAACTTGAACTCGCAAGAAATATGTAATCATTATACAAACAAGGGTATGTTCATTGCAATTTTAATTCATAAACTTTATACAAGTATAATTTAAAAGAAATCGATTTAGAACACGATAAAAACAATTTTATAACACAAGCGGAAATAAATTATAAAAAATATATTAAAAATAAACAGTTCTGACAAAACTGATTTATTAAATATCATGGACAACATTCTGTTCAATGAAATTAAACAGTAACCTTAGATATATTTGTTATCTCTGATTCGCGATTCGCATATATTCCGTAACGATTGACGGCCAATACGGTTTGTGACCTACAGGGTGTGACCTACAGGAATATCCAATCAAGCAAGTAGAAGAGGGTGTGGCTAACACCTGTTAACAAATCATGTTCAAGGAAATTTATTGATGATTTATTGGATAGTAACAAACAAATATAGTTTGTGTTTTGTCTCTCAATTAGAAAACTTAATCAGTAAGCAATAAAGTGACGAGTTTGCGAAAAGGGTAGAGAAAGCAAATTCAGAAGGAAAAAATGTTGTGGAGAGAAACGTAAATTTAGAAAACACTGAGGCATGTAACCTTTGCAGTTGAACTTGTTTAATTAACCCTTGGAAGATCCCCGGACGTCTGTCAGACGCCCAGCGTCAGTTTTTTCAGCGGCATTTTTTTCGAAATTTTTCAAAAAATTTCAAAAAATTCAAGTTCTCCAATTTTTTTCAGCTGCAAAAAATGCAATAAATAATTTTCTTATTGCGCGCCAACTTTTATTCGGGGGAAAAAAATGCCTGCGTCTCACAGAAGCCCGCGACCGTTCACAAGAAAAATTCCGCAGAAAAAACACGATTGCGAGATCGCGACCATTGTATGCGTCTGTATTATATTCGAGTTTTTCAGCGATCGCAGCTTCGATTCGCTCTTTTGTAGGTCGATTGACTTTCTTTAAGCCAATAAGTGTATTGTCACCACCCCTGGGCCATAAATATTTTGGTAATACACTCCCTACTAATCTACAGTAAATCTTTCAGTAAAGTACACAGTTGGCTGAAAACAATCAAAGGAAAACTCCTTCTAAAGTTTTATTGGGTATCTTCTGTCATTGTTGACATTACTGTAACTAATCACAGACTTGTGAAAGGAAAAATTGCCGCGAAAAGTCCCGCCTCCAACCTTCGAAGTAAAATGTAAACAATCACAATAAATTCGCTTTTTAAATCGTTTTTTTTAGCTCTAAACAACTAATTTAACGTTTTTAAGATTAAATTAGGCAATTCGACAATATTTAGGCATGTAAATATGTTTTTAAAACTATCTAACAATAAATATTCCCGGGAAACTCCACCTCCCTATAGTAAGTGTATGGAAGATGTTCTTGCTGTTAATTGGCATTAAAATTTTTATTTCTACGCCTATTACGCTCTAATTGGTAATTTATATTATGACAGAATCAACTTTCAACGAATGAGAGTGTTTTCAGAGCCATCTGGTCTGGATTTTCCCGCGAAGAACCAATCCACGTGATCAAAGTCAGAATGTAAACAAACGTTAAAAAATTGCTATATTCTATATTTTAGAGCGTATTTTTACTAGTTTGCATGTTATTTGACTTTACTTAGATAAGAAGATTTTTTAACAAAAGCTTCCAGCTAAAAAATTAACCGGGAAACTTATTACTTCCGGATGTTGCGTAATCGCAAAAAAAAATTAACTGATCGCTTATTATAGTGTATTATTGCATAAAGTGAAGAAAAAAAAATATAAAAGGTGTCAAATATTTACTATTTGAAGCAGAAATATATATTGATAAACTTTGTGGCATTGCTTCACAATGACAATTGACTCCTCTCCCTGCTAAGTAATTTGAGAAGTAGTGTGAATTATGGCAATAACTTCTCCCCCGCTTTAGATAGAGAGCTGAAGTTTGTTTTGTTTAAAAGAAAACAGATGTGTCTAGCTAACAAATGTTTCAAATTAAACAGAACGTTTACAGATTTTTAAATTTTTACTCTTTTCTTAAAAAATTTAAAATTTTTATTACATTTAATAATCGTAAACTGTGAGACATTTGCGGCAAAAATAATGAAAATGGACGATTCTAGCCCGATTTTAAAGCGAGATATCTAAATTTATTATTACACTCAGCGAAGTCTTATACTCTGCGAGAAATCGCGTTTGTCCACGCGATAAATAACAGCGACAAAAATTTTTCAAAATTAATTACGCTAAAACAAATTTCGCTAATTGTACAATTTTTGTTTCTTGCATAACTATTTCATTTAGGTATTGATGCAAATGCATTTTTTGATTAAATTTCGAGAATATTTTTAGTTATAAATAAAAGAATTTACGCCTTCGACATCATGTCGTAAATTGCCGAATTTTTGATGGTCCACCCTGTATTTTTGTTGTTGCTTCATTTCATGCATAGAAAACATTTATATCTAAACTATCAGCAAGAAATTTAGATGGATTTTGTAATATTTTGAGCGATGTCCATTTTTATATTAGGTGATCGATTTAAGCCTAACACACCACTATATCACATTAAAAATTGAAAATAAAATTAATATGTAAAGATCTAAGAAAACTATCAGTTAAATATTGAAAAAAAACGTTTTTATGAGTAAAATAAAGTAAAAACTTTGTCAATTAGTCGATTTACAACTCAGAAGAGAAGTGTTGAAAATAGAGTCATAACACAATTAACGTTTATTGACTTTCGCGGTAGGGGGTAACGCGGAGTCTGATGACAAATTTTCTCGCAGTAGTGAGAAAATTCTACTCACTTCACTTGAAAGAGTAATATTTCTTCCCCATTTACAAACAAACCCGATAGCGATCGGCGAAACAGGAGATAAATTACAGCGAGTTGAAATTTGATATGTTTATTTTTTGTGTTTTTCGTATCAAATTACATTAAATTCGATGCAAATAAAGCATTTGTGCCAATATAAAATAAAGCATCTTGATTTCTTATAAATCAAAAATCATAGTTCACTTACTTGTAATCAAAATAAAGCGAAAATTTACTTGTTATTTTAATGTAACAAAACGGCCCAAACAATAAAAGTATCCATCAATGCATTTGACCTAACTCGTATGTCTTTTAGACTCCCTCTGGAATGTCAACATAGGCATTGGCGCATCAAGTCTAGTTTGTCTGCTGTAATTTTAAATTTTTCGTACATTTAACTGTTAATTTTTCTATTGATTGTATACTTAAATCATATAATATTGTATTGCACGTGTAGGCATTTTATGCATGAAATATAGCTAAATTGTAAGTTTTAATTTTTAAGACTTCGTTTCGGATTGAGAATCAATACTTAATTCTCATAACTCTAATTTATTTTATTCGGCTGCAATTTAAAAAAAACCAGCAAGTAGTTGCTCAACATTTCCTGCAACATTTGGAATTTTGTTAACGACATCTCTCATCATATTTTATTAAGGTAAGGTTTATGTATAAGTTGTAAATATTTATAACGAGTAAAATCGTGATAAAGTCCAACCCCACTAACGATATTTCATTTATCTTTTTACCCCCTCGACCTTTAACCGACAAAATTTAATAATATTAATCCTTTTAACAATCAAACGTTTCTGATGTCCGGCTCTCATAAAGTATAATTTATTTATTACCAGTATACTATTATTTTTATTTATAACAGAAATTTATTATTGATATGAATTTATTATATATACCACGGAATGACACCGCTGCTGAGAGTACGCCCACTATGGGGCATCACGAGCTATTTCGTAAGGCGGAAACTGTTGATTACTTCGTTTCAAAGGTCATACAATTTTATTTTTAAATGTTAGATAATACAGTGGACGATAATATTTGTTTAATTACCAATATCAAAAGTTTACAGATACTTTCATTCCTGACAAATGTCACGTAATCATTGTCAAAGCATTGATATTCAATTTAATCCTACATAAAAAAATTAATGATGTAAACCATTTATATGACAACTAAATGCCTAGTTTTGTCTGCTTTGGTCAACAAAACTAGGCATTTAGTTGTCATGAAGAGACATACGTTTGACAAGGAATTACATGCTTACATCAATAAGACCGAATGTGAAATTATTGACGACAAAATAATTGTATCTTTGGACAGAAGGGTCAAGAAGTTAGAACGCTCAAGTCTCGCTTTGCCTTTTCTGAAGAAATGTCACAATCCAAGTTCAGGAGCTCCAAGATTATTTGCGTTTGCTAAGACGCACAAAACCGGAAATGAATTAAGACCAGTGGTAGAGAAGTGTAGGGGGCCCACCTTCATCTTAGAAAAAAGGCTACATAAATATTTATCCTCACAGCTAGAAGATGATAGACTGGTGGCAAAAGATCCTCTTGTGGTAGTGAAGGAAGTGCAAGATATTTCTTTAATGGAAGACGAAGTAGCGACCGTTTTAGATTATGAAAGTATGTATCCTTCAGTAAGGATTGAATCATGTGTGGGGGCATTATTGAATTTCATGTACAACAACAACCCTCAGTTGCTTAGTTACACCCAAGACGTAGAGGAACTAGCTAGCCTGGTATGCCATCAATCTTGTTTTACTTTTTGTGGTCAAATATACAAGCAGAAAAGAGGGGATCCGATGGGAAGTCCCCTCTCTGGAATTCTTTGCGAGTTAGTAGTTAGAAGATTAAAAAGAAGAGTTCTACGAAATTTTACGGAAGATGTCATACATTTCGTCAGATATGTGAATGACATTTTTATATTATGGAGAAATAATAGCAGGATACATGAATTTTTGAATAGAATCAATAATAACAAAGATGGTCTTAGATTAAAATTAGAGCAAAAAAGTACCTTAAATGTGCACTTCTTGGACATTAATATCAAGTTCATGGGAGATCATTTGTCCACCAGCGTATATATTAAACTTACTCACACCCCGCTATATATACCAGCACAGTCCATGGATCCATATCGATATAAAATGGCCGCATTTCAAACTTTGATAAGAAGAGCCTATTTGTATTGTGATAGAATCGGTGACAGGAATAAAGAAATTGACAGAATATTGCAAGTAGCCCAGACCCTAGGTTACAAGAAAAGCACCATTGTAGGCTTACTCAAAAAATATGAAAGGAACAAAGAGAGAAAAAGCTTAAATACCGCTCCCAATAGACGCTTGAAGTTTACATATAACAGTAATTTGAACAGTATTATGAAAGAAGTTGCTAATAGGAAACAAGCAAGAATGGTTTTAAAAAGAGCCCCAAATTTATATAAGATATTGAGGAATGATAAGGATAGAATAAAAACAGAAGAAAAACCAGGTGTCTATAAAGTTCCTTATGAGAACATCCAACTAGATGTTAAGAAAGACTACATCGGCGTCACCAACAGGAGCTTAAAAGTAAGACTAAAAGAGCATCGTTATAACGTAAAAAAAGGATCCAATGCTACAGTTTTGTCGCAAATGTCGCAATTCCAAGGTTCGGTGGTGAAATGGGACGAGGCAACAATTATAAAACCAGTATCTTCCCCCACTTTATCAATGACGACGGAGAAGATTGAAATATATAGGAGGAGGCTACGTGAGGGATGTTTAAATGCGAAAGATGCTGAGAGCCTGTCGTCGGCGTGGAAATATATGATTAAAAAGTGCACTGAAAACTCAAGCTAGAATTAGTTTATTGGAAAATTTATTATATTTTTAATTTTTTAGTTTATTTTGTGTTATTTTTATATATTCTTCCGTTTCTCCTGTATATTTTAATTTTATTTTGTGTTATTTTTATATTTTCTTCCGTTTCTCTTGTATATTTTTAAAAATTTTTGTTCTAAATTTTGATTTAAATATTTATATTCTATACATAAAACGTATCTGTTCCATTTTCGTCTTTTAGACCTGATGATGGCCTGTTAATCAGGTTGGAAACGTTAGTTTTTCAATTATGTTTCTCAGCAACAAATTAAGGTGTTTTATTTTCTGTTTACTTGCTGAGCACTTTTAATGTTTCCTCTGTTATATTAGATTCAATAGATTCCCTATGCCCTGTGAATGCCAATTCTTGTTTCAATAACATCTACTAAATTAAGTATAATATACTTTTCAAGAAAATTGTAATTAAATATAGCTTTGTAAAGAAACGCACATAAAAATAACAGAAAATAGTTTTTACTTTTTATAGCAATCCACTTAGGGAAAATTGCTCTCTACCAGTGGCTCATGGATGGTATCTGAGACGATCTTGGTAGGTGTGCGGTGCGTGCATGCAGGCCAAATCCCGAGGTTAATGTCAAATGCCTCTCTTGTCGTATCACTAGTATACCTCAAAGAACGCGAGAGGGAGAGCGGAATAAAGATATCAAATATTCTAATGAATTTTTTTAAACCCCTGCCAACCATACAGAACTATCATAAAACATACCAGTAAATTCTTATCGATTGGGTTAAGTTATAAATCTACTCGCGATTCACGTAATCGGGCGAGAGCGGACAAATACCCAACAATCAGGCGGCTAACAGCACAGAACCGGTCCTAAATACAATTGGAAGCGTTATGTATGTGTAGCTTCCACCAGCTAAATAGGGTAAGGTTGGTGCTCTGTAAAGCGCATACGCTAATGAGTATAATCGGGCTGTTTGGTAGCTGACAATACAGCGCTTTTATTCCGCCACTAATATTCGAATATACAATAGCAATCTTATCGTTTTTTCACATGTAGTATAGAAATTTGTAATAAAATGTATAATGCGGTTATAATAAATTATTATTTATAAATTTAATTATATGAAAATAATCGCACAATATGTATTTATTTTTTAGAAAATACAAGGGAAGCGGCGCTTCCTATGATAGCACGCCATTGATATTCATCAAGTTTCTCTTGTCATCCTCAATAATATTTTGTTGATCACAAACGGATCGTCAGATCATCTTTATCTCATACCTCAAGTTTCCCCAACAGAAGGAAAATATTGTATTTACTCATGTATCTAATATCTTTCAGAGGAAGACGTTTGAATTAAAATAACGCGACTTTCGATTAATATCGAAAGTTCTTGTATAGTAAATTTTTGGGAAAGTTTTGGCCCTGATTAAGTATACATGAACTTTTAATTTCGGCAGAAGTCATGTTATTTCAACTCTAAAATTTTTCCTTGAAAAAAGTTAGATACATTATCGGCACTACTCTATTGTTAAAGAGAAAGTATGATGTAGGGGAAAGTGGTGAAGATGGAGCCATGGGGTAAGACGGGAAGTTTGTTTATTCGTAATTAACGTGCTTTCATCGAGCTGTTATTTGGGGAATTAAATTTCAATCTCAAAAGAAATCATGGGACGAGAGAACGTACGAATCGCTTTCTCTGTTTGGAAGTAAGAACATTTTCTATGTTTCAACAATACTTTATTTAATTTTATGATTGTAAATAAAAATTTACAATAATATTTTGTATTATGTTTTATTAAAACACGGATATTATTTTTTAATTTCATGTTTTTCTTCAAATTTTCAACTCATTACATAGGCATTTTCTTTGTTTTTGCAGTTGTTGTTGTTGTAGGCAGATTCCAAGAAGCTTTAATAAAATTTTTTCTATTTGTAAAAATTTCTAGGTAATTCAAAAGTAATTTTTAATAAATAGTTCACGCTGCATTATTAATATTATTACTTTGGAAGTTGTAAGATGTATTAGATTACTTAAAAGACGAGTAATAATTATATTATTCGATCACAAACTTTAAATTACATCTTAAAAATAATCGATTATATCGCAGAAAACTGATCACTTTTTCTTCGAAATCCCGAGTCAAGGGAAGAACCTGAAATGAGAAACCCTAATTTGAATACACTCACTATCTTTGCATCTATCGGCAATGTAACTAATTATTACATTTCACTTATTTAAAATTAAATATTAGTATATAAAATAAATTTTAAGTTGCAAGAATGGAGTTTATAATTGTAATTATTTCACAATATGTATTTTTAATTAACAAATCTATTACTGTATTAAGAACATCTGATGAAGGATAATAATATGGCCGAAATGTACTGTACAGTATATGTTTGTTGAATAAAGTTTTAGATAACTTTTCTATTAAAAACTATAATAAGTCTTTTAAATTCGTAGTAAATTCAAAAGTAGCTCTTAAGACGATTAAGACGTTCTAATATTTTACATGGAATGATTTTCAGATGTTTCAAAGTATATATAATGCTGTTTAAATTTTGTAATCATCAAGAGATGGCACAACATGTAATTACATTTACCTTTTGTTACATTGCTTTCATTTCTATTTCTCATTAATCCTGACCTTTATCTTCCCTTGGTTTTACTAAACTGCTTAATCTTTGTTTATTTTAATTCACTTTCTATACTTTGTTGACCAATATTTATCCTAATTATTTAATAGAAATGTTAATAATAATGATAATATTATAATATCTACATATTTATTCACACAATATTATTTGTGTTGTATTATACGTAAGCAGCTTTTTCAACTATGTATGTCATATATTTTAATGGTAAATAAATTTTTTAAACTTCTGTTTACCATGTAAATAAAAATTACCACTTTAATATTCCTTTATATTTTAAACTATGATACAGTAAAAAACAAAAAAAAACCAATATTGCCGGGTGGCGTCAATACAATAAACGCTTTTTTCCTAAATATTCTGTGTTAAAATGAAAAATAATGACAAACCTTTTTCTTAGTATACAATATATAAATGATAAAAAATACATGTTTAATTTGTTAGTTTAGTTTTTCCCTCGTGAATAATAACATAACCCAGACCAACATAATTGTATATTATTCAAAAATGTGTAATTTCCAATTCTGAGTCTTGTTTCAGAGAAGCCATAAATGCTTCTGGATCATCGGAATAACATTTAAATTTTTCTTTCGATTTCTCTAGAAACTTCTTAACTTTTTTGTCTTCAAAATCTTCACCAATGTACGTAAATTTGCCTTGGCTGAAGTGCTTATCTCTTTCCTCTTCGTACAATCTCAAATATTTTTCGTTTTTCCGAAAGAATTCTTCGTTGGCTCTAATCATATTATTGAATTCACTCGCATTAGAAGGCAAATTACCTCCCAATTCCAAAGGCAAAAAATCCGGATGAATGAATTCGTGCAAAGTAGACATGTCGGAATGTAAGTGAAACTGCAAAAAGGAAACATCTTTTAAGAAATTAGTGAAATAATGTATAAAGTAAATAATTTGCTGTATAAAAATTTAAAATATGTGAATTACAAAATAATCGTAATAAAAAAAATTATTTCTAAAGTGTGATTTTATTTGTTTCTATTAGATGCTGTACAGTATAAAAACAGGTTCATATAATACGGATTCGTATATAACGGCAAAAAAATTGCGATCGTATTAGTATAAATGTTACCGCTAAAGCTCGAAATCCGTTAATGTGCGCATTACCTAGCTAATCTGCAGATTAACTAGGGTGATCCGTTAAAGCTGCGAAAATTATTCCATTTCTCAAATTACCTAGGTAATGTTCAGATTATCTAGGTAATCTGCAAATTACCTACTAGGCACTCGGTAAAGTGAAAATAAGATTTTTGCTGGAACAACAGCAACGTTTCTGTACGCTTAAATTAACATAATGTTATTTATTTAATTTTCAATATCTAAAGAATCAAGTTAATACAATCAACAAATTAGTTGATTGAATCAATCATCAATCAATTAAAAAAACTTTAATACAAAAATCAAACGGTTTAAAATATTACTACAATTAGGGAAATGAATTTGCAAAACATATGATAAAATTGTACTTACTTATTAGTGCAATCTAAAGATTGGTGACACTTTGAATTACGTAGCAATTGGTTTTTGCGACAAGCACGCCTATTTGTGGTACATTTAGATTTGCAGTCACATTTTCTGAAACCCTGCCCAGTACCAAGGGATTGTTTTATTGCTGTTTGACGTAAAGATATTTCTACAGCAGGGACATCCATCTTCTTTCGTTAAAAATCTCTCTTTGCAAACACTGAATTCAGATTTTGCATACAATTGTTTTAAAATACCTGTTTTAGTATCAAGTTTATAAAAGCCATCCTCTGTTTTACTAAGAACCACAGCTAAAATTGAACGTGCATCAGTTTTTGCTCTGTCTTCTTCGGGTACTTTAATTCTCACAGCGAAACCTTCATCGACGTTTGGGTGCTTTGCATTAGAAACTGCTAACATTTTCTTTGCTTGCTTTTCTAAACATTTCTTGGCTTCATCACGCTGTATTTTCTGATCCATATTCTTTTTACAGATGATGCACAATACATTCTTACCATACCCTTCCTCTTTAGGATCTACTTCACCACAAACTGCGTGAACAAACATATTACACGATTTACACTTGTGAGCACTTGATGCTGCTTTTGAGCAAACAATACAGACTATGTCTTGTATAGTGCTCTTTACAGGCTCCGTACGAAACTGTGATGGCGATTCTGCTGAAGTTGAGAGTAACTCAGTGATGACTTCTTCAACTTGCAGAGGCGATTCCTTGGAGGTGCAGGGTAACTGAATATTCTTCGTGACTGCATCATCAATCAACGGTATAGAAGGCAGTTTAAGATTACTATCGGTAAATTCTTGTATTTCTATAGGTGATTCTGTAGAAGCGGGGGATAACGGAATGTCCTC